TGCTAGTTTTTATCAATGCAAGCTTCTGAAAAGAGATAATTTTCTGCCATAGTCTTCCGTGCAATAATACATTTGCCAGAAGAATTTCTTTGATAAAAAAATATCCTGAGAGTTTTCAAAGCTGAATGTGTTAAAATAGAAAAAAAGTTAATTTTATGATTTTTAATCTATAGAAAGGAACGAGTTATCAGTGATGTTCACCTCTCGGTTTTTTTAATTTTTTTTTTAATTTCCCTACATTAAGGGGAAAAATGGTTGTTATGATTCACTTTTAGAAATATTTACTAGTTTTGATTACCACAAGCCTCTGGAAATTGATCAATTTTTTCCAAGTTTCTCTGGACAATAGTGAATTTATAAGTGGGCGTCGGTTGCCGCAACGGTTTAGGGGTTTGCACGCTCATCACTGTAAGGTAAAACGCTCCAGCGGCCCTGCATTCTAACCCGACATACTCATAAATGAAAAAAAAAAAAATAAAAACACCGTCACCCTGAGGGTTTATATGACCTCTGCTGTAGCGAACCCTCGTAAAATAAAATGAATTTATCCAGAAGTATTTCTTTGCCGCCCATCTCCGATTCCTTTCCATTCATTTTAACGTACGTTGCCAACGAACGGTCGCGTGCTTGAGATTGTGATCAATTCCACTGGCTCACCTGTTGACTCAGTGTTTGCGTTAATTACATAGAACTGATTCAACTGCGTAAAGGGTCGATTTTTTTTTTATAATGGAATAATTAAGTTGACGCGTGTCTGGCTAAATAAGTCTCATTACCACTGGGAAAATGTGACTAAAAACAGGAAAAACAGCAACGTACCTACCTGATCCAGTGAAAATCTGTAAACGTATTCAAGGAGAAAAATAATTACGAAAAGGATTGTGGCTATTAGGACAGACATAATGAGGTAATATTTGTCAAATACCTATGCCTAGATAAAATGTGCTTATGTAAGATTTACCTCAAACTACCATCATTGCATTTTCATTTAGTCTCTCACTCCTTCCTAAATATCTATTTATCTAGCAGTTTTCGTTTTATCTATTCTATTATCTATGTACCTATTTACCTTATGTCCGTACATAACTCAACTTATACCGATACAGCACCGTGCATTTGACTTCGGACATACCACTATACTGAGCTAACTATTTGTCTGTAGATTTTAAATCTGATGTATTATTTTTTACCTATCTGTCTATGTGTCTAACTATTTTTCTCTCTACCTCTCTATCTCTTTCTCTCTTTCTTTATCCTAGTATGTGTTACTGTTTCTCTCACACTATGTAGATTTTCATTTCTTATTCATTTCTAATAATAAAAGCTTATTGTTCGACTCTTTCTTACAGAATGAACTTAACTTAACTTATGAACTTTTTTCATGAACTCCCTCACTCACTCTCTTCCTCTCAGTTTTTGTCTTTGTCTCCCTCGCACGCATGGACGTTTTTATATCTTATTTCTCTCTAATAATTAAAGCGTATTGCTTTACTTTTTCCTTAAATATTTTTTGTTTTTATCAATATTTTATTATCAACTTTTTCCACAATCTCACTCTCTCTCTCTCTATCTATCTATCTATCTATATCTATCTATCTATCGATCAATCTATGTATCTATCTATGTATGTATCTATCTATCTATATATCTATCTTTCTATGTAAATATCTATCTATTTAACAATTATCTTTTTTATTTCTTCTATTATCTCTGTACCTATCTACGATATTTCCGTACAAAACTCAACTCTAAACATTCAGTACCGACTATTCGACAACTTCGAATCTCCCTCTAGATTGAGCTATGTATTTATCCGCATATTTCATATATCTGTCTATCTATCTAATCTATGTATCTAACTATTTTTCACTCTCCCACTTTCTCTCTCTCCTCTCTCTCACTCTCGTTCTCTCCCTCTTTCTCTTTCTCCTAGTATGTGTTACTGTATCTCTCACTATGTACGTTTTCATGGCTTCATTAATAATTAAAGTGTATTGTTTGACTCTTTCTTTCAGTTTATTTTTTTTTCAAAATTTTATCGTCAACTTTTTTCATGAACCCCCTCCCTCTCTCACCCTTTTTTCAATATCTGTTTTTCTGTTTTTGTCTCTCTCACGTGCGTGTGTATCTTATTTCTCTCTAATAATTAATGCTTATTGTTCGAAACTTTTCTTGAAGTTTTTGTTTTTTATCTATATTTTATTATCCACTTTTTTTGAATTTCTCTCTCTCTCTCTCTCTCTCTCCCTCTCTCTGACTATTCTATGTACCCAGCGTTCTATCTAAATTAGAAAACAGAATATAGTTTCTGCTACTTCCAATAAATCGTTATTACCTTTGGAGGAATTATAATAAATTTTCAGACTTGTATTAGTAACAGGTTAATATTTATTTGTATATGAATATCCGCCGAATTTTAAAAATACTATTTTTATGATGGATTTTGTTGTGATGCCATAAAAAATGGTACATAAAGTTGATTTTAATTTTTTCAAATTAATCCAGTTACGGATACGGCTGATCGTCATTGCCCATAATTGTTGATAAGGGTGTGATGCGGTTTTAGGACTGATTATAAATCAAAGGGGCGATCGTTTTGGTGGTGGGATGGGGGTTGAGGACAACTTGCCAGATAAACACAACCCGCACAGGAAAACCGTCTAATTTACAGGCACAAGTTCCCAGCTAGCAACTAATTCCGAATGCCAGTTTTCCAACTCCCTAGCACTATTGTCATGGTAAATTTGCTACAATATCTGCGTTGGCTGGTTTAATTAATTCGGACCAGGTAGATTTAGGGTTGGTTTCCCGTTTGCAGTTTGCCGTTTCTGATAAGGTCTCGCTTAGCTTGACGTCAAACCACCGGTACACTTCCCCTGAATATATCAACTGGAGCATTCCATCAAATTGTTTCATATCCATCTCCTATATGGCCATGTAGATATGTAACTGGTTTTTTTTTACAAACGATTTTATCGAATTGATGGAAACGTCATTAAACTCCAAACATTCGGGCAATTGTGACATAAAGTAAAAACATTCATAAATATTATCTTGTGAAAGCTTTACTTGTGTAAATTGGGAGATATTTTCTTTAAAATTATACCATTTAACCCTGTGCACTCCTCAATCTAATTACTTTCTTTTCACTCGTTATTTATGCCGGATATCCCTGGTCTTCATTCAACATAACTCCATATTTTGTACCTGGAACCCCTCCCCAAGGGTTGAGACAGGGTATTTTAAGACTAATCAAGAAGGGCAACTATTTATAAAGTCTTTCAATAAATTAAGGTTTTTAGTTGAGAGAAAAAAGTCAGTGTCACGAGCGGGATTCGAACCCACGACCTTCGGCTTGTTACGCCGCTACTCTACCACTTGAGCTATCGTGACTTCCGTCCACTCGGACACTAACTTCCCATCTCAACCCCACCTTTTGAATTTTCCCTCATTTTTGCCATTTTTCAAATGTCGTTTAATCTATTTGATTCTCGGCGACAAATGAAATGGCCACGGAGAGCTTTAGTGAAGATATACTTCATTTTAACATTAAAGTCTCTAGTTTTCGTGGTCCCCGTGACCAATTAATGTCTTTCAATTAATTTAGCTTTTAGTTGAGTTAAAAACGTCAGTGTCACGACCGGGATTCGAACCCACAACCTTCGTCTTGATACGCCGCTACTCTACCACTTGAGCTATCTTGACTTCCATCCACTCGGACACTAACTTCCCATCTCAACTCCACCTTTTGAATTTTTCCTCCTTTTTGCCATTTTTCATTGTGTGCATTATATTATGTTTCATTATGCCATTTTTTTTATCTCAAGTAAAAACCTTAATTAATTGAAAGATATTAATTGGTCAAGCGGACCACGAAAACTAGTGTACTATTTATAAAGGTGTACCCGTGAATATGGAGCTAGTCGCTTTAGGATGCGCCCTACATCCAGGGTTACTTCTGTCTATCCACTGTTCATGGTAATCGTGATTATTTATTCAGGGAAGAGCTTCGAGCCTCCCCGTTTTTTAAAGACGGATGGTTGACGGTTCGTAGGCTCACTCCTTCCGGTTACGTCCACTGCGTATTCGTGGGATAACAGGTGCGTTGTCTCCTTTAGGTCGGTCCTCGAAGGGAAGGAGGTCGCAGGACCGAGCGAAGTTATGTAAGTGGTCCTGGCACGTCACTCCACCGTTCCTTACCCAACGACCGATGTGCACCAATTGGGACGAAGTGGACGCGATCTTCACATTTTCGCATGCTCTAACCTTTTCGTCCACTATATTCTTCTGAAGAGCTTACTTTTAGCTTATTTTATTTCAACACCCATGTTATAGGGAAAAAACAAAAAAGATTTGCGATTGTAAGCTCATCGCACGGCATCGCATCGAGTGCGTTGTAAGCAGGTCTGATGTTGATTTTCCTACAGTCAGTGGAAGCTCCTTCCTTTCTAGCTTTTACTTTCGCCATATCGTATCGCACGCCGTGTAAATGGGCCGACCTTAGTAGTCTCCCTATCCTCTTCGAATCTCGATCTCTATGGTCCGTCTAGTCTCGCTATTTGACACATTATTAAATTGAAATAGTTAAATTACGAAAATAGCTTTGTGTTGGTTTTCTTCTTAAAGACATTTTAACGTACGAAGAACTGATGAATTCTCAGACTTTTTCAATCAGCGACAGTTGAAAATAAGTAAACTTGGCAAGATAGATCGTTTGATGAATAAATTATAATCAGGTAGCCCTACATAATTACACTATCGATTATGTTGAAAATTAATTAGCTTAGTGCAGTGTAAACAGTGAAAATGTATTGCAAAGGCTAAGTATCTTTGAGGGAAAAGACTTTCCACTGTCATCGGTGAACTGGCGTAGGATAAAATATGGAAATAGATACGAGGGCTGAAGGACGGCCCGCTTTCATTTTTATAAGAGCATTCCCCGTTCTCTGGGAACGACTGTAATATATTAATTGCGCAATAAATTCTGTTTATTTTTGAAGGTGGTCCGGGGGAGGATGACATCAATATGGGAGGTGGTAGGAGGATGAGCATGCGCTTTGTTGACGGCCAATCCAAAAGCTCCCCTTCCAACCCCTACTCTTTCTATCCTTCCCTTCTCCACCCTGAAATTTAATTAGGGTGATATGAGGGTGGTAGCGGTGTAATGTCGGCGACCATCATTTGCCGTGCTACTTCCCGTCATGAGAGCATCATACTATTAGAAACAGCATACAACAGATAAACGTACGTACATACCCATTCTGAGTTACTAACTTTTCCTGTCATACTATTAATAATATAAACAATCATTATTAAACCACAAACCACATAGAATATTAGGACTAAATCATCAATATTCGTTTTAAACCTTAAATTAAGCGAGGAGAAAAAATGTGTAGAGGGACTTTAATAATAGTACTTATTTATTCTACTTTATACAAAAAGTCATATATCACGATATGTAAACACATTAAACTACCAGGCAGTGGTTCGGTACTAAATCGTCATTAAAAACAGAAACATAATTAAGTTTACATATTCATAGCTTTTTCTCATAAGCCAAACGTAATAGAATCAACACATTTTAATAAATATTAATTACTTTATTGTGAAAATATATTAAATAGTTAAAAATTCAACAAAACAAAAAATGGACAATTTTCTCTCAATTTTTTTCTCTTTTTTCTTATCATCCTCTTTCCTTATACCCTCTTCTAGCTAGAGAAGAGCTACATTGCTTCTTTCATTCATTTCACATTATTTCCCCATCAATTTTCTTATGTCTGTCACACATTTGGTGATCATTCTCATATTTCTCTTTTTTCTTACAATTCTCTTTTCTTATACCCTCTTCTAGTTGGCACACTGCTTTTTTCATTCATTTAAGATTTTTTCCCCATCAATTTTCTTATTGTCTGTCACACATTTGGTGATCATTCTCATATTTTTCTTTTTTCTTATAATTCTCTTTTCTTATACCCTCTTCTAGCTAGCACTCTGCTTCTGTCATTCATTTAAGATTTTTCCCCCATCAATTTTCTTATTGTCTGTCACACATTTGGTGATCATTCTTATATTTGTTTTGAATTATTACATTGCAAACTTTTTCTTTTGTTACTGCCAAGGACTGCGTAACAAATCTTCTCTAGTGGCGACAAAGTATTCCTTATGTTTTAGAAACAGCGAACAACCGATTCATGCTTGTTTTAATTATTCTTTAATACGATGAGAATGTGTAAAGAAGTTCTGTATAAACCATATAGAATTTTGGGGCAAAGCATCACTATAAACAAGTATTTTGGTATGTAATTATGGAACTGCACACAAGTAATACGAGACAGGCTATGTTTTATTACAAATACGTCTTAATTGATGAAGATTTATTTGGCATATACTTAAAATCACTCTCTCTCTCTCTCTCTCTCTCTCTCTCTCTCTCTCGCTTTCTCTCTGCAACTCTTTCTCTCTCTCACTCCATTTTTCTATTCACTTTCTTCTCAATCTCTCTTTCTTCATGTTCTATTTTACATTATTCACGATATCTCTTCATGTTATTTTTTTCTCATTTTTATATATAAATCCTATAAATTCAATATATGTAGTGAATAAAAAGAATTGCAATGCAACATATACAATAAAAATTAAGTATGGAATTGGTGAAAATTCAGCAAATAAATATCCAATATAAAAATGTCAATTTAAACTAGCCAAATGACTAATTTAAGTCTTTTTACGCGTCAATTTTATTTTTGAGTAGCCTGCTGATTATGCAATTTTTACTTGTAGTGTTTATGTTTCCCTTATTTCCGTCACGACCTCCGGCAGCCGGATTTTAAATGTCCGCGTTCACTCTTATAAAAAAAAACTCCTAAACAACCAACCATTATGATTTATTGTCACTATAAAATTTTTAAATGTTTTAGATATTAAAATATAATATGTTAAAAATTAAAATAATACCTTTCGAACCAAGTGGTGAGCATTTATTTAAAATAAAAACTGATAAATGGTTAACTCCGTCCAATTTTCTTCTGATTGCGAAAATAAAAAGACATTTTGAATAATGTTTATTTTAACTTAATACCTTTTGAAAATGGCAGCCTTATAAGCACAATTTATAGCTCTAAACAACACGACGCTTTGTCATCGTACAAATATTCCAACAAAAATGTTGCCACTTTTATCTGCTTGTAAGATCTCTTTTTTTAATGTAAAAAATACAATAAATAAAGATCAGTTTTATTCTGGATCTTCAGTTCAAAGTTATTTGATTTATTAATGTATTTTTTCTACTTCTTTATTGTATACATACATATATACATTCAATGTAATTTCAATGCATACTATTGTATACATACTATATTGAATTACAACCGACCTCCTCTGAATGTCCCAATTGGATTAACAGAGTAATTAAAAATAAAAATAAATTACAGTCAGTCTAACAAGCCTTAAAGTGGGACTACGTAGGCAAGATCATCGTATCAAAAACTGTTGATATTTAATGACAATTATCTGGTGTATCCCGATTTTATTGATAACAGCCTTTAGTATTATAATTATGAATTTTAAAAATCTAAAATATGGTAAAGAACGTACTTCAAGCTTTCGAGAAATCTTTCTCCTTTTATTAGGACGTTAAAACTATTATTCATATTTCACATGGTCAAAAAACGTAAATATTTATATATAGAAATGAAACTTATTGTCAGAAACTTGGCTGTATTTACTTAAATATATAATTGAATTACTTACGTTTTGTCTATCAGATTATATATATATCATAGNATAGAGAGAGAGAGAGAGAGAGAGCATCCGTCCGTGTCTGAGGTCAGTTTGGCAAACCTTAAAATGACGCTAGGAGGACAGTTATATGTATGGAAGATCATCAATTTTATTGATATCAGGGTTTAATATTACATTTTTGTATTAATTTAAAAGAAGATAAACTTCGTCAAGTTTTCGAGGAATATATCTGATGCATCTACCCTATCAGTTTCAAATAATTGTATTTATTCGAGAGTTGCTTTTTCATTCTCAGCAAAATTCAGAAAAGCAACGAAATACTTGTCAGGAAGAGAAATGAATCTCTAGAGTTTTAAATTGCTTTTAAATGAGACGTTAAAAGTGTATTGTTTAATACAATGTTTCGGTCAGTTCTGCTGTATGGATGATGAGATGTGGGCTCCCTGTCATGCAGATCAAGTTGAAAAGGAAACAGCTAAGATTTCTGAAAAACTTAATATATTAATCAGTATATTATACTAACTATAGTCGAACAGAGGTTTTCTAAATAAATTTCTAATCCAGAAACGTTGTTATAATAGTCTGGTCCGATCTTAAAAAAAATAAAGAAAAGAAAAAAAGAAAGAAAAAAAAAAGTATTCCATTTAATTAGGTACAAACATTAAAAATTCTCTAAAGATCATCTGTACTCTACATAACATAAAATCAAAAATTCTAACATTAAATGTAAAAGACATAAGTCTGGAAATTACTTCTCAATCGAATACCAACTTCTGAAACATTAGTCAATGTGGGCGGTTCATAAATAATCTCGAACGCTGAAAATATTTTAAAAGATTAGGTTATTAATTCATTTAAGGCAACTTAGTGACCAACACCCAAACCTGCATTTAAATGGGCAAAAGTAAATCTTCTCCAGATCATCTTTGCCCCACTTACTTTAACAGAGAAAAACATGTCTTATTTTTTGTTGGATTGTCCTTTTTTTAAAATTCAATTTAAAAAACATGAACTCATGAACGTTGTAATATCAATTATATGCTTATTTAAGATTATAAAATCAATTAAAAAAGTACTTTTTTATTTTTGATTCCTTTCAGAAAAGACAAAATCTGCTCAAGTTGCTCGAAATAGAAAATTAGAAATATAACTAAATTGAAGTTATTAGGTTTCTGTTTATTTGTTTCCACAGTTTAATCTTCTTTACGCAGTGTAAATCTCATGTTATTTTGTACAAATATCTTTCATAGAAAACTTGGCAAAATAAAATTAATAATTTGTTGCAACAAAAAATAGAACAACCTCAAACTATGTTCAAAAGTCAAATTTGAATAAGAATCAAATTCTTAAACAAAAGAAAGAAAAGATGATTCAAGATTGTACTTGATTCATCAGGCTTCGAAATTATTATTCTTATAATATATAATAATTTCTTAGTCCTGATGTAGGGGCGCTATTCCTCAAAAGCTAGAGAGACTGTCTTGTCTTCTTTTTTTCAAATTGGCCCAAATTCATAATTTACAAAGAACTTGATGAAGAAGAAATAAAATTCACTCTAAAATGAATTCTAATACAAAATATTACAACTTTTGTAGAGTAAACAGGTTGGTAGAGATAATGTTTTCATAAATGCTATAAAAGCTATTATTCGTACGAAGCTATGTTTGTCTAATTGTTATTAAATTAGGTTATTTTTTGTTCTGCACCCAAGAGTCGGTTCAGTTTCTATCCTCAACCCTTTTTAGTAAATAACAAACTGTGTTGTAACATTAGAGCTATCTGGCATACATTAGACCTGGCACTATCAACACGACACACAAGAATGACACATCTACACGGAAAACGGACACTTTGAGCCCTGAAGATGATCTCAATAAAGATCGAAACGTTGGCACGATAAAGAAAATGTTTTTGTAAAACCTACGTAACACCAGACCACACCTCACGATCTCCAAATAATCATTAGCCCTACCTATTAGTATAGAAAAAATTAAAACGTAAATTTTGAATTTTGCATTAAACAAATCGTTTTTTAAATTTCAATCCACAAAGGAACACTTTGGACTTTCTTCCTACTTGAATTTTTATCGAAAACAATATTTCCCGTCGTAATACACGGTGAAGGACCCATAAATAGAGCCATGCGAACAAACTAAAAAGGAAATGTATGGTAATTAGTGATCGTTAAGTGATCTACATATTTTGGTTAAATTTGAACAATGTACGTAAATCCCAGGCCCTGAAGATGATCTCAATAAAGACCGAAACGTTGGCACGATAAAGAAAATTTTTTTCTGAAACCTACATCACACCCGACCTCATCTCACGATATCTGAATAATCGTCGACTAACGGTCACTTATTCAGTCATCACCACACAAGACAAGATGTTAAAACTGTTCAAGACTTAAAATAAAAAACTTATAAAGTTTTTCGTTTATTTTTTAAATTCATTATGTTTAGTGATCTCATTGACCAAATTACTTATTTCAATTCAATCTTTTTATGCAAGGTTTTGGTCGAAATGAAAAAGTGTCACGGGCCCCGCTACCTTCGTAGCTATCGTGATTGTTTTTTTGACTCCTATATTCAGGATTTTTCGTTTCAGAAAAATATTTTCTTTATCGTACCAACGTTCCTATCTTTATTGAGATCATCTTCAAGGCCTTGTGTTGTCTGCATTTCAACAAAAAGGTTCTCTGATTGATAGCCGATGCGAGTTTCTTCTCATTGTTGGAGATGTCCTTCAGAATACTTTTTGCTTCGTGTCCATATGCAGTTGAAATTATTTCATAGAATCCCGTGTTCTTCGTTCTTCTCGTGTAGAAATGTGTGGTGATTAGTGACCGTTAGTCGATGATTATTTCGAAATTGTACATATGTCCGAGTGGATCGAAGTGGCGATAGCTCAAGTGGTAGAGTAGCGCGTATCTAGCCGAAGGTCGTGGGTTCGAATCCCGCTCCTGACATTGACTTTTTTATTTCAACTAAAAACGTCAATTAATTGTTTGTATTAGGTTAAATAAATATAGACAATTTTATAACCAGATTTCAAAAACATTGAAATATTTATTACATGCTTATGAACTTGCGGTTTTAAAGATTAATTTAGGCTTTTGATCGCGTTTGCCATTCGGACTTGATGATTTTGCTGGAGCACATTATTCCTTCTAGTAACATTTCATCCTTTGAAGCTACCTCACTGATTGCTACTTCCGAGTCATTGACGGGCCGGCGCACAGAGAGGCAATTTCCTTACAACTGACTCCATTTCACTTTTCTTGCTGTATTTGAGCCAGAGAATAACGCTGTAATAATGGTTTTATTGTTAAAAATTGATTAAAACCAGTAATCAATGCTGAAACCTGAAAATTATTTTTGCAATATGTACAGCTATTTTCTTAACATTACCCTCCACCCCAACCAGCGGTTCGTTGTAGAAACTCGTTCACCCTAATTTCCTTTTATAAACACCCCCAAGTATGAGATAAAGACCAAAATTTAACATTGGGATGGAATCAGGTTGGTTAGGTAAGGAAAAACCATCAATATTGGAAGAATTTTCGGTTTTTTAGACGTTCTAAAAAAGCTTCGTTGTTCTTTGCTTTGGCACCGTTGTTTTTCTCTTCTATACACATACAAGTACTATCTTTGTGGATTTCAGCTGCCTATTCCTGCCTATCTGTTTGCAGCATTATTTCAAATAAATTTATTTAGTCTAAAATCTATAAAACATAATAAATTTTGCCCTTTCTATTTAGTTGAAGCAGTCTGCCTTAACTATTACTGTTTTTCTCTGTGTAGAATCCGAATCAGATATCAGAAATATCATATCATGAAAGGATTTTTTTAAATAAAAAAGGTTCTTCGCGGACGAAGTGAAAAACGTTGTTGACTTGTGTAGTGGATACATATTTTATTTATTTTAAACTCAAATTTACAATTATTAGTCAGAAATGTATTGGGAAAAAGCATTTTGGTTATTTCAAAACTGAATTGTTGACAATTTACTTGCAAAAAACCAACTTAAATGCCTTTTTTTATGATTTATTCGTGATCAGAGTTAAATGTCCATTAAAGATAGAGGATTCAGAATTTGTTCTTATCTTATTTTCTCTTGGTATTTGCACAGACTGTGCATAATTGAGTCCATCTGAGTCAGTACGCTCGATTGTATTTTGCAACGAGTAGCAGTTATTTGTCTAACGCCCACCATTTTGGAAGGTTTGCTGTGGTCCAATCGATTCGAGAACGGTTTCACTGAATTCAGCGTGTAGAAAAACAAAAAAACGATACGCATGATGATTATTGATAATATTTGTTCCATTTTTGATTTTGGACCACAATTCTTGATGGTTTGCAGCGGTCCAATCGATTCGAAAAAAGTTTCATTGGATCCAGCGTACAAAAAACCTAAACATACAAAATTTGGGGATCTTACTTCAAATAGCTTTCGTGTTACTGAATTTCTTTCGCTATTTGAGTTTTGGCCCCATTGTGTGGCGCCATCCCCAAACTTCCCTATCCTTGCCGAAGTACTTCAGGGCAGATGTTCCCATCTTTACTCATGGGTGTTGAGACCCATGAGGATCTTTAACGTCCGGACTAATCCCCAAGGGGACTTCTCAGACGCCTAGTGTTCTCGAAAGAACACCGGAAGATTTTACATGCATGGACTAGTCAAATCCCTTGCCTAGCGAGGTGATGCAATACTAACCAAGTTCAGGAGTGCCCTAAAAAGGGGTTGAAAATGTGCCTTGAAAAAGGCAGTTTTGTGGTTTCCAGCACAGCCTTTTAGCAATGCCTTTCACCAACCCGGAGAGATAGAGAAGGCACTCTATCTTCGGTTCCGGTTGGCCGGTACTCTCCAGCTAAGGTACAATTTGTTTACAAACCACGACCACAACGAGTCCAACCTCAATTAGTAGAGCCGCTTGGATACTCCACTTCCTTGGTTCAGTATTATTTTTAAGGTGGGACCGATCGCCCACCCGGGAGGTCATAGGAACCCGTTGCTTGAGGTGTGCGGGTTCAGTAACCCAGGAATCCTCTGCCAAAGCAGAGAGGGCTGACGGAGAGAAAAGGAAAGGGGGTAGGAAGGATAAGGAAGGTAATAGGAATATTGCCTCCATCATTGGTTAGCCCCAGGCATCAGGGTTGATGGTCGGATTGCTTGGCCCCACAGGGAAGATGTCCCTGAAGGTAGAGTACTTCAGGGCAGTGTTCTGGATTGTATCAGAGGTATGTGGATGCATACGTACGCGTGTATAGCGTTAAACCTATCACTTCTCCCAGTCCACCAATAATTTCAACTTTTGTAATTTGCAAGAAATTACGGGCAGGCGTCGAGAGTCACCCACCCTGATGTCTAATCAACCAGCCGCCAAACTGGGCTCCAAAAATTATCAACAGCTGGGTTATTTAAGCTCCCAACGCGATCGGTTCCAAAATCCTCACTCGTTCACACTCTCACTCACTTTTAAATACATTCTTTCTTATGCACATATTATTCAGTAAGTTAGAGTGGTGGAGTACTCGATATTACTTTATCACCATTTACATAAATTATACAACTAACCAAATTAAGGTTTCATGGGGTACTCAATATTCCGCCAATATTTCTTTGACACTAAACATTCACACTAATATATACAACACTAGGGTACAGAACAATATCAGTACTACAAAACAATCCTGTTTCTTCCAAGAACCCGAAAAGGGGTGTGATACTCGTTATATCGGATGGCTTGCTTACACGCTCTCTATATGGAGTCAATCGCACGCTCCAATTAGGAAGAAACATCCGTGTGTAAACCTCGTAACGCCAATCCTTAATATGATGAGGTTAACTCTTCTACAGGATCAGATCTTCCGATAGCCGCAAATCGACAGTACTCATGATTTCTTGTTTCTACAATATAATATCTGCTTTGATTAATAAATGTACTGTTAAATTAGCAACATTTTTTTTTCAACCAAATTATTTTCCACGGAGGTTTTTATATTTTTGTAAACAAGAACTAAGACATATCTATTTTAAACAGAAAGTTTAACTGAAAGCACGGTCAAATCTTCATTGTAACACGAAAATGTTCTAATGTACTTAATACTTTTTTTAACTTTTTTAAGAAAAACTAACAAACTTTTTTTTCTAGATCACCGAGAGGCCGATGCCTTCTTGAGACAAAATTCCATTTATCCCGTGACTTCGAAAAAGGTAAAATAATTTTCAATAAAATACTAAACATAGTGGGGTTGGGATGGGAAGTTAGTGCCCGGAGGGTAGAAGTCACGATAGCTCAAGTGGTAGAGCAGCGGCGTATTTAGCCAAAGGTCGTGGGTTGGAATCCCGCTCGTGGCACTGACTTTTTATCTCAACTTAAAACCTTAATTAATTGAATGTTATTAATTGGTCAAGCGGACCACGAAAAATAGTGAATTTAATGAACTAAACATAGTATAAACTATTATCAAAGTTCAAAGTAGTCAATGGGTTGGGTGAAGTACACTTAAAAAAAAATTGATCCTGGATCTTCGCCACCATTTTATATCGCATTAACAGAATCAAATTTGCACTTCGTGCCGAGAAAGGTCGATGAAAAGGTTGTCAACGGCGAATTGTAAGCAAACATGCGTTTTCTTAAATTTCCTCGATTTAACGAGTGTTTCATTGTACTTTTTTTCGAGATGGAAACATTATTGGATAGAATGGTTCCGCCCTAGTGAGAGATTTTTTTTCAATTTGCGACGAATTGCTTGGTGAACTGACATCAAAAGTGATTATTGGTTATTTCCAGTGTCACGCTATCACATTTTCAGACCAAAGTTAAATCTAGCACCTTTTAGATGTCTTACTACAATGTATATATTTGGTTGGGGTTTGATGGATGTTTTAGATTTGGGACCGTCTGATCTGTTTTCGTGTCGGATGCATTTCACCTTCTCGCCCTCTTCAACGGTAGGTCTGTAGATGAAACCTTCCTAAATAATCGGCACTAACCAAACAAAAAATTACTATCCTTTAAGGAACTTATCCTATAATTTGATAATTCTGAAATGTATTATTATTAACAAATGGTGATTATTTTAGTCTTTTACTTCCTGTGTACGTTTTACACCTTCTTTACATTGTCAGTGTAAATCGTGGTTAACTTTTTAAAAACGATTTCCTTAACAAACTTGTCTGACAAAGGCAATGTTTACTATACTAACTTTTAGCCCTAATGGTAACTTTTAGCACCTTTCGCTCTCTAATTAATTAGAAAACAAATCACCGCTTAGCACGTGAAGGGATGACGAGCAGCTGCTGCATTAAGTAGCACCTGTTTGTGCTGGGCTGACCCGGGCTATTAACCGTTTTCTAGCCACGGATTCTACAAATAATTTTTTTTTTAAATCTCTTCGTCCTTATCGTGATTTTTAATCAACGGAATGTTTTAAATGACCGAAGCTTGTACTGAAACAATTCGTGAAATATTTTTCTGCATATTTCCCCTAGACACTCTGATTAAACCAACAAACAGCAAGAATCGGCAGATCCCGTGATTTTTTATTAAACCAAAAATTAGATCAGAAAGTGAATTGTGAACAAAACTCTCCGTACTTATATACACATTTTTAAACTAATAGTGTATCTACATATCAATAAATTAACTAAGCACATAAAAAAGGCAGGTTCTTCATGAACTCCTTTCGTTCTTTATTTTTTTTAGAACTTAACTAAAGAACATTTACATAATGGAAACAAGATTTGCAATTTTATAGAATTTTCGTGCTCCTAACAATGACGATTTACATATTTTTGAAATTAATCCTGGTTTATTAGGTTGCATGAAGTGTCTTATCTACCCCGATTGAACAGTTTATGATCGTCCTGGATGGAAAGCAAGTTATTTCTATATTACCAGCACTGGCTTGGGCTGAAGTCAATTAATTATTAATCAGTCTAATTAATCGGATAATATTTTTTATTTTTAATGTTATGTGTAAGAAAACATAGATAATTTTACATTATCACATTAAATTCAAAGCTAAAATCAATATTGTTGAAATATAAAAGCAATTAGTTTCGGATTTTTCAAGCGTTTTAGGTTTTAAAACGGTAGCACTTTCCTGTTGTTAATGTTTGGTAAAAAGCTTGCTTTTGGAGTTTAAATTTATTTAAACAAATAAAACTTATCGAGAAAAAGGCAACCATGGGATATTACTTACAGTATTCTTTTGTAAACATTTGCGAAATTAGGCTTAATTTCTAATAAATTAATTTTGCACTAGTGTTTTGCGCAAGGTACAAAAGACAATTATGATTTTTTCTATTATTAAAATTTTAAAATCTATGAAGCTCGATGAAATTTTTGTTTTGCTTTCTCAGCTTTTATTTTATGAAGGGATAAGCACAAACTAAAAGAAGTTCATTTGCTCCTTTTACGAAAAAAGCTGAAGTATGGATTTCGATTTTATTGTAGATATTTGCTCAGTGTTGCTGCGGTAGCCGTATTCGATTTATGTATTGTTTTTGCAAACCCATGTTATTTTGAACAAGTTCATTCATCAACCAATTGAAGTTTTTTTTATATTTGCCACGATAAGAAAGTGGACTGGCAATGACCCATATAGTTGTAGTACATTATCCACACAATCCACATATGTACACAATCCACAATGACTTTTTTGTTTTAGAACACTTTTTTCATGTTCTAAATTTTGAAGGATTTCCGTTTTCGTCCTCCGCAATCTGTCTTTATTATATCCTCTTATAAGCAACTAAGAAACCAAAAAAGAATTGGTAGACAGAGGGTTGGAAACAATAAGAGAAATAGACAATATAAAACATAGATCAACGCGTCGATTGAATTATAGATAAATAGTGCGAGGGAGAAAGAGTGTAAAAGTGAGAAATAAGAGGAAAAGAGAAAGAAATGCAGAGGAAGAGAGAGAGAGAGAGAGAAGGAGAGAGAGTGTCAGAGTGAGAGATATCGAGACAGAGAATTGAATTGAACATTTTACTTACAAAAAGTAAAAGCTCGCCAAACTAGGTTTCGTGGGCCTTTCTTACACCAAAGTGGGCTCCAAGAATTATCAACAGCTGGGTTATTTCAGCTCCCAACGCGATCGATTCCAAAATCCTCACTCGTTCACACTCTCACTCACTTTTAAATACATTCTTTCTTATGTACATACTATTCAGTATGTTAGAGTGGTGGAATACTTGATGTTCCTTTATCACCATTTACATAAATTATACAACTAAACCAAAATAAGGTTTCACTCAATACTCCGCCAACCATCTTTTCACACTAAACATTCACACTAATATATACGTTCACTGTCAACATGCACTAGGGTACAGAACAATATAAGTACTACAAAATAATCCTGTTTCTTCCAAGAACCGGAACAGGGGAGTGATAGTCGTTGTGATACTTATATCGGGTGGCTTGCTTACACGCTCTCTATATGGAGCCAATTGCACACTCCAATTAGGAAATTAGGTTTCCTGGGCCTTTCTTACATTTAGCGAGCATTCGTACATACAAATAAAATTTACATAATTCAATATAAAAAATACGTATAATACAAATATAATTTTTTCACTGTCTACATAAATATTTAAATACTATTGATTTTGACAATAGACAAAATTTTCTTTTTAACGTCTTTCTAACGTAATTTTTTTAAATTGATAAATTACAGTGATAAGTCCAGATAAATTCTAGAATCATAGATAAGTCGTATGTCGAAGGCGCATATTTTGGTAATATGTAATTTATGAAAATTTTTATTACAAATTACTACAAGGCCATAGTTATATTTGAAAGGATTAGTGCATTAGAAAGCTTTTGCTTCATGGATGGATTATTAAATAATTTTACAATTTAGAAAGAGAGAGAAGGAAAGAGAGAGAGAGAGAGAGAGAGAGAGAGAGAGAGAAATGAGCGTGATTTTTAATGAGTGGTATGTTTAAGTATCTACATAAATTAATCTTTCATAAGATCCTATTTATTTAGCGTGTTTTCTGCAAAATTGCTAGTTAAGAAAATATACTGGAAGTACGTATACCCGTGATTTGTCAGCATGTAGAGAACTGCGGTGACTGAATGGTTCGGATGTTGGACTCTTATTTCTCACGCTAGCGATTCTGCGGTCGAATCCCGGCTTAGCCCACGAATTTTAATGTACAATAATATTTAAAAAAAACTAAAATCTATTTAAGGTGGTTTGTCCTTGACGTCCTACCATTTCTCTCGTAGAAACTTTACCGTCAAAATTAATCAAAAAAACGAAAATAGGGATCGTTTTATCTCAGAAACGTAGGGTTTATGGGTCAAGTTAACCGTTTAGAAAGCTGGTGAGTCGTTTCGCAGATAGCAAATACACATTTTAAATAATAGTGTAATACGGAGACGAAACTTATCTTTGTTGATAGGACCAATCTCGCCATCACAATTTCCTCCCTCAGGCATAAGGGTTTCGGCCAAGGGTAAAAACAGAGGGCGAGGGATACCGGCTTATAAATCATAAGATAACTTCTGTCTGGTTTATCTCCGTTAGGATACGGGCTAGCGCCTCTGGCCATAAAAGGGCTCTGACCCTCGGCCTGGGTAGTGAGTACAGGCTTAGGATTTCGTACTGGAACATACAACTTTTCAGTTCGACTCCGCCCCTTTTCCGCTGGAAACTGCTCGACGGCAAAATAAGAAGGGGGGAGACAATTCTTTTTTCTGTGTATTATCGCTTACACCAGTTTCGATTTGCATACCTGTTTCCGTTTCATTCAAAGACAATTTCAAACTTTCCGTAATTGGTCAAATCATATTCATCTTCCATAAATGAAACAAGATTACAGTAAAACAAGTACTAATTTGTCATTAGGATTATATATTTTAATGTATTATTAATCTTACAAACATAAATTACATCTTGTTCTTCAAATTGGGCGGTTTTATTACAAATTCTTACTTATGAAATGAAAGAGAAATATACTTACTACAATATACTATTGATTTGTAAACTTTCATTACTATGAACCAACTTTTTTAAAATAATATTTAGACAGATAAAGAAGAATGAATTGTTCAATAGAAAAGCTAAGATGTAGAGAAATAGAGAGAGAGAGAGAGAGAGAGAGAGAGAGAGAGAGAGAAAGAGAGAGACAAAGATAGAGGAGAGAATAAAAGATAAAGAGAGGGTGAGAGAGAAAAAGTGAAAGAAAATATG